TGCTTATTAAGAAGTGAGCCTTTGTGCCTCTGGCACTGGGACAGCCTTGGAGTCTGTACTTGGTAACACACCTACTTTACATAATTTAAAGTCATAGTTCTTATTTACCAGTGTGAACAAGTGGATAATTTCCTTACTTCATGTTCAGTTGCATTTTCTGAGAAAATACCTTTCAATTTCTCATTATTTTCGTCATATTAACAATACATTCTGAAAACTTAAATAAACTCTCAGCTTTTATAACTCACTATTGACATAATCCATAACCATACAGAGCTTGAAGCAGAGTCCATTGTAGATCCTATCTCCAGACTCTTGCACAGTGAACAGACCTCTGAGAGGGAAGGGGTGCCCAAAAGATTGTTTGGAGGCATGGGCATCCTCTCTGCCTTCCAAATCAAGGGGTTGAATCATTCCCATCTTCTTTATAGCAGTGATTGGGAAGAACAATCACAGTTTGGCCTCATTTCAGACTCAGTCTAGCTACTTTGTCACTGGCATATACATTTAATGATCTTTACTTGACAAATTAGTTACAAAACCCATTAATATACTATCACGAAGCAACACGCCAAAAGAAAACATTAAGACAGCGTGCTAACTTCAGTCACCACACAAGCCTAGATATTTGCCTTCTGTGCTTGCTAACTGCAGAATAGAACTTACTGACTAATAAATGATCCAAACAATATAACAGACACAAAACAGTGGCTTTGAGGGAGTGCACGCATGTGCACAATTCTTGCAGTCTCACATCAGTATCGTGATACCCCAAAATCTCTGACAGAGCTTTAGATTTGAAATATGCAGTGAAAGGAACATGCTAACACAAGCCTCTACCTTTCCACTGACATCATATAAGAACTATATGATGGATGTATATCTTTATAAGGTACAAAGGCTATTTTCTAGTTCTGATCAGTGAACCACACATTTTCTTAATCTTAAATTTTCTGAGATTAAAAAATCTGCTAGCACCAATGAGCAGGTACTGGGCAAAAACAAAGTGCACATGAAGATAGGGTTGGATTTGCAGTCAAGCATTTTGGGTACAGTGTCATGGCAGTTTTATTTAGTAGGCATTTGAGGTAACCTACAAAATTTATTAGAGGAGGAAAGACAAGATTTGCAATGTTAGAAGTTTTCCTGGTAGTGTACTTCAGAAAGAAGAGACAGTAAAAAAAAGCAGTTTATCACATTATGAAGCAGACTGTTCTGCTGTTGGACACTATTACTGAAATGGCCCATAAATTACACAGCTGTGGTAAGTTACAGTAGAGAAATGTTAACTGAATTTGTGTAACATAATCTCTGATCTCATATCTCACTTCTGACCTTCCCATTCTTTAGCGATAATCCTTTTATTAACGAATGACAAAGTTACATACAAGCTCAATCAAAAATGCACCTGGTAAGATTGCTATATTTAAACAAATTAGCAATTTTGTGCTAGCCAAATGTTTTACAGAGAAATGACTACAAACCATCTTAAAGCGCTTTGAAAAATGTGAATTGGTAGGATGAAAACTTAACTTTTTACACTACAAAAAGGACACAATCACACCAGGGAATGTACAATTCCTTATATCTATGAGAGGAAGCTGTAGAAAGAATATTGAGGGACTACATATTCGGGAGTAAGAACAAAAGCTCATTGGATTGTATTTTCCAAAGCTATGTAGGTTTAGCTGATGCATTTTAAATCATGTTGAAGGCTGCTCAAGTGTGGAATGCTAGAAATACTCCTAATCATGCTGAAGTTGATGATGCAAGATAATTGCATTGACCATAAGACTTCACAATTCATTACATGGATAAGGACAATCATTTATGCAGCACTTGAAACCATCATAAAGAAAACCCCAACAAAACAAACACAGAAAACCTATGATAGAGTGTGTCAATTTTGCCAAGTTCTCCAAAGTCAAAGAATGTAAATCTAAATTGTGGTCAAAAGCACATACTATTTCTCAAGAAAACAACTGAAGACTTTGTAGTATGAGGAAAACAATATATTTTAAGTCTACTCTCAAAAGTGTTTAAATGATTTCCAGCATCCAGGGGCTCTTGCTGAGACACAGCCCTGCCAGATGCAATGATCTGGGACTAAGAGTTGCCAGACTCACAGAAAACAATTTCTGGTCAGCATTTCATGTAATCAATATGCAAAACCAGATTCAAAATTTTCCTGCCTTCAGCACCTTTAATTATTCTTCTCTCCTCTAGAAGGCAGCAAGTCAAGAGATTATTTATTGAAAGACCAGTGAAATGTTTTCTCATCAGACAATGTTAGTCATGCTGTGGGTCCCTTTTTAGGCTTTAATGTGGAGTCACAAGCCTTTTTGCCAACTGATTCTGCTAATAATGTTTTTTATACATTTGACTAAACATAAAAAGAACAATAAAAACATATTTGTTGTTGCAGTGGCATCTCACAATGGCATAGATAACTTCTGTAAGTGACGTCAGGTAAATGAGTCAAAGGCAACAGATATAAACGCATCCTCCTTTGCATTTATTACATAAACATTGTTTTCTGACAATCCCATCCCTTTTGTCCATGATTCTGGTCAAAACATCTATTTTATTAATAAATGTTGAGGTAAATTGAGTAATTAATGGTTCTTTCTGCCTGGTTATTGAAATGATTGATTTAGAAAATAAGTCTTGGTTGAAAGACATAAGGTGTATGGCAGCACTTGAATTTAAATGTAATTGTTCCTCCACTAGCTTAAGTATTTCTTTTGCCTAAGAATACAGAAAATGCTCTTATTTTTTTGCCACAGAAGAAATGTTCAGTCAGAACAGTTACAAATAAAAACTTATTACCTTTCTTCTCCTTTTCATTAAATTCCCCTGTGGATTAAGAACTACCATTGTATTCTTGTCTTTATCTGTTTTATCCTGAAAAAGACTGAGAAAAATCTAGTAGATTATCGACATTGAGCTGTTTGAAAGAGCTAGAAATACTGCTCTATTATCACAGCAGGAATTTCCTAAGTGATGAGTTCATCATAGGATGCTCAGACAGTCTCCTGGAAGGTAGAATAAAGGCTGTACCTGAAACTCAAAGGCAGTGAATCCTAATCTTGAATTGGTGCCAGGTCATGTTTTGCCAGACAAAGATATTAAAAATGTAATGCCAGTACTAACGAGAGATTTGGCACACAAAACATGAAGAATGTTACAGATTGTGCTGACAGTGTGACACTATGTTTTCCTGGATGTAATCTGGGTATCATGAGAGTAAGCTTGGAGCACTAATGAGAAGAATGATATTGAACTGGAAGAGCTGCTAAATATGCAGTAGCCACAGGGTTCCTGGAGCGAACTGGAACTGAAATGAAAACTGCAATACCGAAAGTAACAGAGGGCAAACTAGGCACAAATACAGAAGGAAGAGAATCTCAGCAGGCAAAACTTGTTTCTGGTACCATGCTTGCCAGGACATAAAGGGCTTTTCTAACCATACTCTGTTTATCCCTGAAGTACTGTTGAAGAGGAGCATGAATCTCGAGCTTAAAGAGGCACATATTTCAGGATATAAATGAGTTTCACAACTGACTGGAGAAAGAAATGTATAAAAGTTGAACAGACAACCTTGTTAGCTGTAAGAACTAAAATACATATTGGAGATAAAAAAGATCATCCTCTCTCTTCAAGGTTCCTGGTTTTTTTGCTGTTTCCATTGTCGATTTTTGCTGGCCTCCTATTTGTATCAGCTACAGTTAGTGATCCTCATATGAAATGAGTATAAAATTGGATTCTTCTTTGGCCATCTCTGTTGGAAATCTTGGCATCTGCACTACAGGTCTAGACAGGAGACATGCACCCAAATAACTTTGACAGTCAACAAAATCTGTGAGTGTGCTAGGTATTCACTCATTGAGATAAAAATCACAAATACATATATAGCCATTGTAAAAGTGTTACCATCACTAGAACTTAATGCACTGTTATCTAATTTATCTCTTCAGTATGCCAATGAATGTCCTTGTTCAACAATTCTCAGTAGCTTCTAGTGTTGGCTCTGGTATCCTGGCCCCTGTTAAGCTGCTAACATCTTTAATTACCACTTATTTTATATATAAAATTTACAACTAAAGTCATACTTAATTTTCCAATTCTATGAAAGGGGGAGATACAGATGAAAGCAGCAAACAAGCAGTTCTTTGTCTTTACAAGTATGATACCTGAGGGAATAACACCATAACTCTGAAGCTCCATATTATAACTTTGCCCCAGCTGCCATTTATTTCCACAGTACTCCAGATTCACTCTGTTCACACAAATGCAAAGAAGAAAGTTTCAAGGTGGAGTAGCTTTATCCTTTTTCCTTCCCCAGTACAATACAGTTTAATACTATCAATACTTGGAGATAATGCATAATTCAGTTTGTCTTGTATTAATATATAGTACAAGGGAAAAAGAGCAAAGAAAATTTAACTCATGAAGACAAAGGTCTACTCCACACAAAGTCCTCCTCTACTCCACCTGAGACAAGGAAATACATTAAAAAGACCAGAGTTGCTTTTATTTTTTCCCTTCCTCTCCATTGTCAAGTATAGGGATACAAAAAATAAATCAGCACATTCTTCTGGATTCAGAACTATGTCAAGAAAAAATTACTTCTAATTTTTAGCAACAGGGAACTTGTTTTTGGATGCATCTGAAAAATGTACTGCAAATGAAGATTATTATTATTTTCTGTAAAGATTAAAATAATGATATTTGACTAAAGTAATACATCACTGTTTGCAAACAGCACCAAAAAAAGTAAGTTACCATCCAGAGCAACTCCTACTATCTGTTTCTCCCTGCTATCCTGTATTTTAACTTATTTAATTCAGTCTTTACAATAAGCACACAAAGGAGTAAATCTAACTTCCACTCAGCACAAGGATTAAGCCCAGGAAATAATTTCATAAAGCTCTACAAGAAAAATGACTTAACTGTCGAGGACAATACAGCTCTAATGTGTTTCATAACCAATGTCTTACCGACTGTAAGAGGGTCAGCGCACATGTCACTTCTGTTTTCCTTCCATGCCAGCAGGTACTTGAGGCTGACTGGATCTTCTGCTGCTACATGGCTGTTAAATGCCACCATCAGCTGATGAGCCTTTGCAATGCCACAGTAAGCCTTTGTTTCATCCACTAAAGGCACACTGTTTAAAGATTTGGCTGCCTCAGAAGCCTGACTGAAATATTCAAAAGCTTCAATATAGTTCCCCTAGTAAAGAAGAGCAAAAAAAAGAAAATAATTTTAAAAACTACTTGTAGTCATCTGTATTTTACCTTGACATTAGAGCCTACTCCTCTGGCACCTCAGAGATGTTGCAGTGGAGAGCTCAGCCCACAGAATGACTCCTGGCAGGGCATTAAGCAAATCACTCTCCCTTGCTGTTCCTTGACCCCTAAAATCCAGATGAGCATTGCTCATCTCTTTCTCAGGAACTGAATTGTTTCTTGGTTATCTGTGCAGTATCTTGAACGCACAAATACAAGTATATCAGTGCTTAAGTATTAATTCTGATTCCAGCCAGGCCTTTTAGAAATTAACACTATTGTTTCATTACATTCAACATATCTGTGGGAGGAAAGGTCCTAATTTATGGTAGTACTAAATCTTAGAAAATAAATCCTAAAAATGGAAAGAAAAAGAACAATTAAGTGATAGACCTATAGCACTGAAAAGAACAGAAATTAAAACCTACACATTTTTGGGTGAAGAAAAGGGCATACCAAACCTCAGGGATTACTCTTAATCACAAAAAAGAGAAACAGTAGGAGAAATGTATGTCAACTGTTGCTAAATAAAAAACCCAAATAATTTCTCTCTTTATCCTACAGAATACAGAAATCCAACATTTATGAATCCAGTAAAAAGGAGTATAAACTATAGCAGATAATACATTATGAAGAATTAAAAAATAAAACAAGAACTATTTTGTTATGTGAAATATAGGAGAAAAACCCTCCTCGAATTCTTGACCAAAGGGGAATAAAAAGAAAACTAGGGAAAATCATAGCAGGCTGAAGGATACTGCTGAAAAGCTAAAATAATTATTGGCATATTTCTTCATCTCTTGCATATTTCTTCTTTTCCATGAATCTACTTTGAGTAAGTATCAGAGATGGAGTCAAAAGAAGAGCTGGAGGAGCGAGCTTCTAATTTAAAATGTAACATACCACCAGACCAAAACAAAGTATATATAAAAGACCTGGAGAAATCTAAAGATGAAGAGGTTAAATTGCTGGGAAATAAGTAACATCTCTCACTAAAACTAGATAGTATAATCCAGCCTTGAAAGGTAGTACATTTTATGTTGGTATTACACAGTGGTATGACAGTGGATAGTAGCTTCATGCTCTAGTATTGGCTTTGTCTAATGTTTAATTATTATAGAAAAAAATCAGATGGCAATTTTTTCAAGATTGTCAGAAAAGGTAAGAAAGGAGGGTTTTTGCAAGGCTTTGAGGAATTTCAAAGGGACCTAATAATACTATCTGAGTGATTATGTGATAGCAAATGACATGAATTCTTTAGAAAATGAGAGGTATTTCATACTGCCTGAACTATTTGAAACTTTTAGTGGGTTTTAGTTTACTAAGGTTCAGGAAAGTCACCTTGAAATAACACACCCAGCTCTGCAGTGGCTTCTCCTAAATTCAAAACTGCTCTAATATCTGGTAAGGTCAAACAAAATATTAGCATGCATCAAGAATGCAGGGGAGAAAGACGGAAGTTCTCCATAAGAGGAATCCAGAAAAAAAAGCATTTGGGGGTAGTGTAAGTAAAAAGAGGCAAGTAGTCTGTTCAATATATTACACGTAGAAATTATGACCAAAATATAGACAACAAAGGTTAGAAAGGGTGATTTTGAAAGGGTATTTCTATTTTTATTTTATTCAAAGTGAAAGTGTTCCCTAATTTCCACATTGTCCAGTCTGCAGAACAAATTCTTATTACTTACTGTATTTAAATAATTTTGTGCAGCATTTCAGCTCTAAAATAGGTGCTAAAGGGCTCAACATGAATCTTTCACTTCTGCAGTAATGTTTTTAACCCTTGTGATTTTAAAACCCAAGGGCTACTGCACTGCAAGCACTGTATCCCTAGACACAGTAAGGGATACAGTAAGCATGGAAAATGCTACCCAGACAGGCAGCCAACAGAACTGTTCTGAGACTGGAACATGGGTCTGAAAGAAGCACTTCAAAAAAGAACTTAGAAACTATGATAAAGGGAGTGTCTTAGTTACCTCCAGCTTAATATTTTCCATCACTGTCCACCTATTGATTTAAACAGGCCAAATCAAAGACACATGGAGGCATACAGAAGAGAAAGGCCTTCCACTACTAGCACAGACCTTTGACAAACTATTTGCTGCTAGCACCCATTTCATAAATTTGGCTGAGAGAATGTAGACAGGAAATCAAACTAAGATTAAAAACGGCTTATTAGTATGCAATGCAGCATACATTAATGTATATTGCAATAAAATTTCATTTGCATTAACTGATGACTCTTTATGGGTATGTATGGCCTCAATGGTAATTTGGATACAGATTTTTCACAACACTGGAGGTTTATCATGATCTGAACTTGGAGGTTTTATTCATCCATCCTAAAAATAATACCCTACGTGTTAAATATGGAGTGAAATTTCCACCTTTTCAAAAAAAATTAAGGCATATTTTATTTAGTGAAACAGCGTCTTCTCATCTGGGAACTCTTGCAGTACCTTGATCAAATCCTCCTGGGTCATCTGACACACAAAATCAATTTTTTACCATGAAGTAAACCAAATTGCTTGAGATCATTATGCAACCAGTACTTACTCTTTCATTGTGAACTTTCCCAAGTAATACATTTGCATCCACCACGCTTTGGCTTAGATGAGCGTTCTCAGCATCCTTCATAAACTCTCCCAAGTACTTCAAAGTTTCAGCTGACTTCCCCTGACTGAAGAAAAGGACAGGGACAAAATTAAATATTTACTCAGATGGCTTCTCCAGATGCTGAAGACCTGTCCCTTTGTTCTGAGGTAACTTTACTTTGTGATGAGTCATCCATGACTTAATTATATTTCCAAATGGCCTCTAGCACTACCTGTGCTGAGCCCAATGAGATTAGTCCACACAGAACATCTGAGGGCAGAACTGAATCCTTTCGACAAAATATAACAAAATTTTTCTTCAGAATATTGGGCCATATTTTAAATCCAAGAATGAAAGCGCAGGTGATGATTTAACAGGGATTTTGAACTTTTCATTATTTAAATTTTTTTTCTACTGAGAAGATGATAACCTTTTCAATACAGGTGGACCTCACATCCTGACAAAACAAGGGAAGGAGGTAAGAAGGCTGTTTTTTCAGTAAGACCTTTTGTGCTGCTGTCATTCAGAGCTGCCATTTCATGCTCTAGAACCCTGGTGGTGCAGCAGCAGCTCCATAACAGCGCTGTCTCTCAGTTCTGGGGGTGGCAGCCTTTCCCTGAGTGTAATACTGCACTTTGGCTGGGTGCATCAAAGGTTGCCAGGGTCACACAGGCAAACCTATAAACTATGGATTGCAGGTGCCACCCCCAAATCCCAGTGAGATTAGAGCAACCTGAGGTCACAGCTGAATCTAAGCCGAAAATTGGCTAATGTACTTTGACAATAACATTTGCAGATTTCCCTTTTTTTAATAAAGCCACTCATATTAACAATATAAGACCTCAGCAGTGTGACTGCAAGATATAAGATGGACATCTGTGTTTGCTTGTGAGTAAGGCACTGTGCTCTTTTCCCTTTAAGGCTGAAGTGTTACTCCAGCTGACCTCAATATTAGCCATGAACTTGAGTCACTAATGTTGGAGCGTAGCATGCTAAATGTCAAGGCACCAAGCAAGACAGAAAATCCAGTCTTAATTAAGAAATGCACAGAAACAGAAGTTTCTGTAAGTGATAAAGAGTTGTGACTTATTTTCTCACCATTTTAAACCACTTTCAAGTAATATTCCTGCAGCAAATGACTGCCTGGCATTTACTTACATTACAGTTTTTATTATAAACTATATTAGGAAAACGTGCTTTCAAAGTCTGGCAGAAGTCTGCAATTCCCTGTTTTATGCTATCAGAGTAATTATAAGGGGTAGAGCCTGCCACAAAACAGGAAATACAGCAAAGCTTAGCTGCAAATTTACAATATTGCAGTGACTATCTGTATGTGACTAAGATGGGCGAGACTGCTACAAAAAGATGCTAAAACATTGCAAAGTAACATTCTTGAAATGTTCAAGTATATGCTACTGTAAAGCCTAGTTGTCAATAAGCAGATTTGGATTTACTAAATTTTCCTAATTTAAGTATTTTAATACCATGAGAATACAAAAAAACCTGGACTGTAAACATTTGCCAAATGTCAAAAGGCTTCTAAATTTTAGAATTAGAAACACATATTTTTTAATCTTTTTTTTTTCCTAAGAAGAGAAAATCAAATGTTTCCCTGCAGAAATACAGAATATGATTTATATAAGTTAAAGGACAAGGTTAAAGTGTTAGACAAATATTAATTCCAGTTTTTCTAGTTTTCTATATGCAGTGCACAGGTGCAACTTGAAGAGCATATTATATGGTATAATCATTAAATCCATTCAACCAGACCTTTGAGAGTTAAAAACATATATTCTGAGGAAAAGGACTCCTTGGTCCAAGGAATGAGAATGAAACAGTGCAGAATATTTGTGTATCAAGGTGATTCCAGTTTCCAATTGGGAAAACAGGACTGTTAACACCCACATCCCCTGACAACTGTCCAATTATGTATATCACACTTGGCCTACTGTTTGCAGTAGAAGTAATCAATAAAGGATGTGGTTGAGTGAACACAGATTTTGGTTGAACCAATGCATGAAAACTTAATCATTTACTCAGAGTGGAGAAATCAAATAGAGCAGAGATGAAACAGCCACTAAGGGGTTTGTTGATTGTGCCACCAAGTTTGTGGGCTAGAGGCTGAAAGTAATAAAGCAAATGGAATCAGTGACAGGAGAAAATGTAAAAAGGTTTTCTTAATTTCATGAATTAATAGAAATGTTTTGATGTATTTTTGGCCATTTTTTATATTTCACATAAAAACCTATGCTCCACATATAGAAAATATGAAAATTGCTAGGGCACATAACCTCTTTCAGGAAAACAGAAACCAATTTGATACATATCAGAAAGGTATTTCTCACTGTTAGAACTTCACTTATGCCAGCCAGCAATTGGTTGGTACAGTTTGACAATTTTTCAAAGGAAGTACTTCCAAGAGCGCTGTAGCTTGAGATATTTCAAGTATGCTAGAAGGATTACTGAAACACTTTATCCTGCACAGGATCTGATAACATGATAAACAGGTCTTTCCTACTCAAAGGGCTAATACTTTATAGTTCCTTCGAAAATCTACATGTTATTTTATACAGCCATATACTTTCTATCTCCTTAGACATCACCTTCCTAAATGCATAAAATGTAATTTCCTAAAGATATAGTCATTCATGATCCCACAGAACAGTTATGATGACTTCAGCAGAAGAGATTACACATCTACAGCAACTCATTTTCCAGTTTCATGCTAAAATGCCCTATGAGATTTTTACCCCTATTAGACTTTTATGAAAATATGCACCTTTTATAGGATTGCTCATGTGATGGAATTGGATGTATAAATCATGTGTCCACAAGAAGTCATTACCATGGTGGACACTGGCAGAATAAGTCAAGAACATGATGCTATTATGTCAGATTTTTTTCCCTGGAAAATGACATGCCTAAATGCACATGATAGAGATTTTCAGTTTCCTGTGGTCTCTGGAAACATCTGTAGCAAAGATTTCACAAAATATTCCAAAGCCACAGACAGATTCTGAGCCATTCAGGAGGGCTCAGTCACTTTCTCCAACCTGTCACAAGGAAATCAGTGCAAATTCTCATAGACGTTATGGCTATAACACATTATTTTTGTGAAATGGCCATATTTTCTTTGTAAAGACATTATCCATAAAATTTAAAATTAGTTGCACAGGTCTAGCCTAGATCAGGTAAAAACACAAGTAAAGAAAAAGTGAACTGAATATGGAGATTCAGTGAGCCACAGTGACAGAATAAATTAATGCATTTATCCAATATGTGCTATGTCCAGCTCTGGAGTTCTTAGCACAGGATGGATATGGACCTGTTGAGTGGGTGCAGAGTAAGCCACAAAGATGATCAGAGGACTGGAGCACCTCTCCTATGAGGACAGGATGAGAGAGTTGGGGTTGTTCACTCTGGAGAAGTCTCTGTGGAGACCTTACGGTATCTAAAGTGAGCTTATAATAAAGACAGGGGCAAATTGTTTAGCAGGGCCTGTTGCAATAGGACAAAGGGTAATGGTTTGAAGGAGGTTTGATTTAGATTAGATATAAGGGAGAAATATTTTACAACGAGAGTGGTAAAACATGGCAACAGGTTGCCCAGAGAGGTGGTAGGTGCCCCATTCCTGGAAACATTCAAGGCCAGGCAGGATGGGGCTTTGAACAACCTGTTCTAGTTGAAGATGTCTCTACTTATTGCAGGGGGGCTGGACTAGATGACCTTTGAAGATTCCTTCCAACCCAAACTATTTTATGACTCTATCAGTCTATCATTCTATGATTCAAAGCTGTTCAGACTCTTCTACACACAAGTTTCTCAAATAACTGAAAGTTGCTGAGAATCATCATGGCATTTTACAAGGTTGAGTAGTTAATGCCTATCATATACCTAAAGCTCTTCAAAGCAAGTACATATATAAGGTGTTTGATTTGGTAAATGTTCTCATGGCACAACTACCAGATGTGTTTTACAAAAATATGACTGCCATTTTCCAGAGAAAGGGTTTATGTTTGGGTCTTCACCTATGCAATAGATTAGCAGTTAAATCCCTGATCCTATATGTGAAATTGAGTTCCTCCTTCACTTGAATCAATCAGAATGTTCCTCTTCTAGGAGAATGCCTTAAATACTAAACTGGGGAGTCTTATTGCTCCTAGTATTCCCTCTCATTGCTCCTCACCTACTGTTTTCCCTCTTTTTCAAATTACAAACTGGAAAGCAGTGAGACTGTCCATTCCTGGGTAGCTAAAGAATGTTGCCATTAAGTGTGGAGTACAGATTTGATGCAGCAGAAGATCACTAGTCATTCGTTTTTAAGATAAGGATTTGGATTGGCATGGTCTATCGGATGAAGGATTTAGCAAACTGACTTCAGAAGGATCATCAGATCTGTAAGTTCTGAGTAAATAAATGTATATGCCCTCATTCCAGAATGCCTAAATCACACAGGGAGGAAATTAATATACATGGTTTACTAGGAGTGTTCTCTTGACTATCTTAACCCACCCTCCACCCAGACTGATGCTTTCTGTGAATACAAGGAGTCCATGAATGCTACTGAGAGCTCAGACAATGCTGTACTCATTGCAAAGCCACTCTTTGTAACAGCGGGTTTTCAGTTAGGCTTAAGACGGCGTTGAAACCTAGTTTTGACCTGGTATTCTTAGTCTGTTCTGTGTCTCTTTGAGTATCTTATCCCACATCCTTATTTAGGATGCTCAGAATACGAGTAGCCACGAATTATGTATCAGAGAGCTGAAAACAACTGTGGCTGTGGCTGGTCCCTATATGCTCTGAAAGGCCAAGAGACAAGGGGTCCAACTCAAAGAGGAGAATTTGCTCTGCACACCGAAACAAACCTGGTGAGAAGTCCTTCTCCACAAACAATTTGCCAACCTCTATCATGCATCATATGCACTGAAGTCCCCAAACATAGGATGAATCAAGAAATAGCTGCAACCTTCATTTTAGTCTCTTTTTTCCCTGACTTCATATGATAATTGCATTACACAACTTCATGTCGAAATCATTTGTGTCAGAAGTTGAAGTAGTTTCAAACTAATTCACCTGGAAGAAGATTTTAATGCCAGATGCTGAAACAAAAATATTGAACATGAGCATCGTATTTGCAACAAATGCAGTTACACATGCACAAACCAGAAATGTCTCCACAGAAGAAGTCAGTGCAATAAATGGAAACTTACAGTTCAGAACATATTACACTGAGTCACCTACTGAAGCTGGATACATTCTTCAACTTTTCCTGTCTTTATAAACCTGGAAAATAGGCTTGCATTTCTATTTTCAGTAAGGTCTCTCCTAAACTTGTGGGGGAAAAAAAAACCCCAACAACTTAAAAAGCCCCAAAATGTGGAATAAAAAGGACATGTTATAGTTTACAGGTAAAGAAAAGCTAGCACCACACACTTCAAAAAATGTGTACCAGTTTAAAATTACTTTCGATGAAATGGTCACTTACCGCAAGAAGGGCACTGCTTAAAATTTAAGCAGTCAGTAATGGGAAGCGACAGACCTCTAACAATTTAAGTCTTTCACAGTTGAATGAATCTGCACTGACAGTCAGACAAGGATGTGCTAACCTACCTTGCCAGGATCTTGGTTGCAGCTGCATATGCTCTGCCCAGGCCAGCAGAATCACGAAGTGCTGTGAATATTGCTAAAGAGGTGTTCAAAATCTGTGAAACAGGAAAATAAGACCCAGAAAATACCATGATAAGAATTTCCACTTTTTTTCTTTTCCCACCCCCCCAGTCTCTCTGTCCATATGGAACACAAAATTAAAGCTTTTCCCCTTCTACAACTGTTCTCTAAGTTCTCTAACTGTTCTCATAATGGGACTAGGGTTTTGATCATTACTTATAGTTGTTTGAAACCACTCAATAATTACAAATCAGAAAAATGCAACTTGCATTTCATTTAAATCTCCGTATTTTGGCAATTTGCAAAAATCAAAGAGGTACCTGTTTTGCAATATAAATTTCCCTATCCATAATTTAAACTAATTTAAGAGCCCGTGCTTTTATGAGTTTCTGATAATATCTTAAGAATGGTATCCTTTGCACTCACAGTGTTTTAGAACGATATGCTGAAATACAACTTAGTATTTTTTTTCTTTCTTTAATCTCCCACAAGTTAGCTTAGTACAATTCAGATGCCCAAAAACTGAGTTATAGGTTATACATTTAATCTATGTGGGCCTAAAGTACTTTAGATAACACTGTTATTTTTCTGAGTAATTATTCACACACAAGCAGTTGGCTAACATTAGTTTGGAATGTACTCTATTATTATGAACCTTCCTATAACTAAAGGCTTACAGCTGCTGCACAAAAACATACGATCTTAATTCAATTTAACACTGACATCACCTGAATTGCAGAAATTCTTTTCTCATCCATTTTTTTTCAATAGTGATGACAGGAGAGTGCATATAAAATTAAATCTTATTCTTTCCCCCCTCCTCTCTGTTGCTTGACCCAATCTATTACACACATGAGAAAACAGGAAATCTCCAAAGACTCTCTATGGAAATCCTTTTTGCACATTTCCAAGAAAGGAGTAGTGAATGTCATTTACCAACTCTGAAGGGGGATGGGAGATGCCCAGGGAGATATGACAGTATCCTGCATGCCCCAAGATGCCTATTTATACTGAGGTAAAGATAGGGCATTTTCTATTAAGATTGCATCCCTTGTCACTGGCAAAATGCATGGTTCAAAAGAAGACAACCTGTGTGTGCTAATGCTAGAGATGTCACTATTTCTATCATTATTTCCCACTACTCAGATTTCCTAGTTCTTGAAAGAGTTTTACTACATGCAGGAGTATCCCCGGACATGGCTCTTATTTTTTAGCTATATAAGCCCTGTGTGGACAAAAAGTAGGACTTATTAACGTGCACTGTCCTATTTATCATCCTTCAAGTACTTTCTTATCAGTTGTGTTCTCATGTACATCAGCATTGCATCCTATACTTGAAGGTCATTGCCAATTGAGTTATCAATGCATCAGATATGACAAAAAGAGTGCAAAAGGCACCTCAGTTAGGAAATTGTCACATCAGCTCAGAACTCACCCTAAACTGAATGCACACTTAACGTTGTCAGGGCCTACAGTGCATCCTTCTAATAACCCAGGATGGTAACAAAAATGCACACAAGTGTTCAAAAAAAAAGTTCTTAGTATTGCATTTGACTCAAGGGACCTACAACACTTGTTGTAATAATTGTGCTCATATTAGAAAACCTGCCATAAGAGTGTCAAGAGGTCTCAAAAATGTTATGTACTGGACTGAAATCATAACTAGTTTAAACTGGCCTCTACAATATTAACTAGGACACAGGTCCTCTAGTCATTGCTATCTAGCACAGAAAGGTTACTTAGGCACCTAAGGCTTCAGTTACTGTACATTTTGTTTCTGTCAAAGATATCACAAAGCCTAAAAAGTACAGATAAAACCAAGGAAAAACCATACACAGAGTAGCTGAAGTAAAAAGTTGGTTCACTGCGTCTCTGCAACAGCTGCGAGAAAGAAGTAAATAAATAAAGCCACTCATTCATATTGTGAGAAGTGCTCATTTTGGTCCCAGGTTACTACTACTGTACACAAATCAGATATTTCATTCTAAACAATGATAATAATACTTAAAACATTTACATAAAAGGGAGGAAAACTTGATAAATTACACTAGAAAGTGTACTCTTTGTGTCTGTATTTCAAATTACTTGTCCAGCTTCAGAAAATATGTAGGGACACAGAAAGGGACACATGCTTGATGGAAAGGAGCTGTGCAGTGCCCCTGTATGCTACAATTGCCCAGTATCCATTTATGTGTAGGAAGTAAAGACAGGTTCCTCAGCTATGGTGCATACCTGATCTTCAATATTCAGGATACAAAAAAAAAAAGAGATAGAGCAGGATAAAATGCTGGGTTAACATACAAGCATTAGAGGATTTCACCCAAAGTCTCTTGCAATTAGAGCACACTTTTCATTTTCATTTAAAATGAAAAACTACAAAGCTTGCATTCTGCCAAATCAAGTAGAATTGAGAGAGAAGCTGCCAGAATCTGTAAACTGCCTGAAAACAATGAATGGGAAAGAAAATTTCCCTGTTTATTTTTATGGGACCCAAACAACCAGTCCATCTAACACAGTTGATATAATTTGGATCTAATGGAATTTATAGTTTTCCAGTGAAAGTTTTCCTACCTTTAGACAGAAGCGTAGCCAGAAATGGGTATTTTATATATATATTTTTTGGCCAGTCTGTACAGAGGATGGTGACATCCAAGAAAGAGGTGGAACATGTTAATACATAAGAATCTATACCTGTAATGTACACTAAAAACAGTGAGTTTGGGTATTGCACAAATTTAGCTGAATTTCCTTCTCAAAAGTTAGACAAAGTTTTCAGAGATTTAGAGTTACTGAAGGGTCATAAGGTCTTTTTTTTCTTTATATTTTATATTTTTATATTTTTTATATTTTCTTTATATTTGTTGTTTTGTTTTTTTTTAGAATTAACTATGTACAAAGAGTTCTGAGGAAGGAAGCTGTTACAATATATTTATCCTGATCACACATATAACATTATTATAAAATTTCTATTTCAAAGAGAGTTTGATACTCCTAGCAACTAGTGGGAAAAAATTATTGTATAACAAGTTGAACAGGTTAGAATAATGTACAGTTCTTTCTACCTCTATATAAAAACTGCACTGATTATGGTCATGGATTAGTTTTTGGCTCTATGTGACCAACCACACTGATTATCTCAAACTTTTGACTTCTGAGGGTCTGCAGTGGAAATACTAGTTTACAAAAACCAAATAAAATGAAAATCAAAGTCTAATACAAAAATGAGCAGTGGGTTCCGATCACTTTTTCTCATCCATGCAGGAGGTGGAAAGGTGGCAGGGTGAAGACTTCAGCTTTGTGTTCTGTGTAATAGTCAACTGTCTCCCACGTGCCATCCACTGTTACTTTGGGGTATGTAGGGAAAAAAAAGACAAAATAAAAAAAGGAAAAAGTTGCCTTTATGGCTCAAAAATAGAAATTAAAAAAAAATAGAATCCATTGTACAATTTCCCTGGTTTTCTTGCTTAGCACTAAAAGGTGGAGGCACATGCACCTGGGAGGAGGAGAGCTACTGTGGGAGCATCCATTCATAAAAAACACCTCCCTTCTTGGGTGTATGTAAGACTGTTGTGTCTACAATTAGTTACAGTGTAAAAACAAAATAATGAGCTCTGCTTAAATCCTCAAACTAGAGCCTATTTATGGTATAGCTCTTGCACTAATTCTCTAGCTAGTGGTGAATTTCATATTTACCTCCTCTGCCAAGAAAAATATTAGTCAGATCTCAGGCCCAGATCTACTTCTCAGTCATCTCAGCATTATGCCAGTGTGACTCTCCTGGGGTTATTCCATTAATATAAAACAGATACATCACGTCCTCCCCCAAGGCCCCCCCAACCCCAAAATCCCACCCTTTATTTTTTATTGTTGTCACACCTGTACTTCTTTTATATGTACATAAAAACATGCACACATCTCATTAGTATACACTGAGGACTCAGATAATAGGACAGAGGTTGTGCTAAACATTCATACATCTGGGGATAATGGACAAAACAGTAAAATCAAAAGTATGAATTTATGTTGAATAAAGAATGTCTATCCAACTCAAGATTAATGCTACTACTACTGTTTTGGTAAAATATATTACTCTGCCAAAAGCACAATGAGATAATATCGATTTATAATACTGTAACCTTAAAAAGCACAAAAACATAGATTTGCTCTCAGCTTTACACTTGATATTGTTGTCAAACTTTATTGGAAATACCTTTATTTTGATTTCTGAAAATCTAGCTGTGCTGAGCCATTTCACAGCTGGTGAGCAGTAAAGATGCTTCTGCCTCATTTACAGATCTTGAACATGAATCAGACAATCAGCAGGAACATTAGTCAAAGAGATCACCAGCTAATGATTTCTGACAGGCGCTGCAGACACAGGCCAAGGCCCAGCCTGGCTCGCAGCATCTGACAGTATTTTTCTGAAGCCAACAATAGGAGTTGCAAGACAGACAATGCAATGAAGTGAGACTGCTGGCCTCATACCACTTAGTACCTCTTAAATACTTTAAGAAAAAAAACAAATAGTTCTGATGGTCTCTAAATAATCACTTTGATGCAGCCCAGTGACAATAAAAGACAACAGAACTGTATGCATAGGCATTCTGCAGTTCAGTGAACTCTGCCCAGTAGCTCCATAAGAAATGCATATTTAGAAATTACTAAAAATTTCAGTGTTTATAACCATAACGTGAGTGGTTACATGCCTGTGGCCATGCTGAGTAAGAAAAGTTTCACAACAGAAACCCAGATGTATTCTTATTTTGGCCAGAACAGTGTGGGAGAGGTTGGACAGCAATAAGAAAACTGTATTGTTTCATTGATCAAAATGAGCAGAGCTCACTGATCCCAGGAAAATCATGCATCAATACCATCTGAATGGCAGGACACACCTTGTTAAATGCTAAATGTACTCAGGTATAGTGAGCATCCAGGGTAGAAGCAATACAGCATTCTGTCTAGAACCACACAGTTAAGGGATACAGAGATTGGGTGCCCCACTGGGGAAAGAGGGAGCAGTCCCTGATTTTCCAGA